TGGAGGAGGTGGGGATTGGGGGACAGGGAGAGCCCTGTCTTCATGGGACCCTCCTCTCATCCCCCTTGGGAACAAAGGCTGTTGCCAGCCTCCTCTCCTTAAGGTGGGACTGCCAGCCTGTAAGAAGGATGGCTATGGGCTGGGGCTGTAGCTCAGCGGTAGAGCACTTGCCTAGCATGTGTGAGGCACTAGGTTCCATCCTTAGCACCACATATAATAAATAAAGTAAAGGCATTGTGTTCATATACAACTAAAAAAAAGTTGTTTTTTTTTTTTAGATGGCTACATTGTTATAAATTGAGCTGGGCCAGGCTGGTGAGTACACAGCTATGAATTGTGGGCACCTGTTCCCTGCCCTAGAGATGCAGGGACCAGTAGCAAATGGCCCTCGATCTGTGATGCTTCCTCCAGGAAGACCCAGGGAAATCAGGGAGGATGGCTGGAAGCTGGCTGGAGCCAACCCTCTGAAGGAGTGGGGTCTGGTTCCTTCTGGCAAACCCTACAGCTATGGGTGGACTTCCTGTAGGCATGACCGCTGGCCGTGACTACTGAGATGGGGACCCCTCACTCCTCTCTACTCCTGCCCAAAGGACTTTTTTCCATATCTCCATCTGACACTGGGAATCATGACACTGGCATGACCCTTCTCTGTCACAGTGTCCTTGAGTCAGCAGGATCAAGATGCCAGGTTCTGGCAAGTAAGGCCAGGGAAGCCCTTCCCTTCTGGTCTGGTGCCTAAGAGAGACAGATGTGAAGTACTTAGGTCCCCTAGGGTGGGAGCAGCTCTGGATGTTCTTTCTAGTGCTGTGGTCACTGTCACATGTCCTCAGCCCTCCGCATCCTTATCGCTAGGAGCTGGGCTCTCAGGGGTGGTGAGATCACCTGTTGAAAGGGGCAAAGAAGGCTCCTAAAGCCCTTGCTGTTCACAGTGCCCTGTCCCTGTCGGTTCCTGTCTGCCTTGCCTGGCTTAGGCCACTAGGGTGAACCGAGAACAGTGAACCGAGAACATGGGCTTTGGGATGGATGGGATGGGGGATCATCCTGTCTTAGGGGCCTCTTCCCAGAAGGGAACCACATCCTCTATGTGCTCGGGCAATCCACCATCCAAAGTGGAAAAACCCCACACAAATCAAGGACAGCTGGGCCCGCCCTCTGGCCACAGCCCCTTCCCTCCTTTCCCATCACAGGCTCTGGTTGCGCAGGCTGCGGGAGTGGGTCTGGGGGGTGAAGGGTGTGGTTCTAGGGGAGGGAGTTCCTGGCGCTCCTGACTGTGTGCCCCCCCACGGCCCCCCACAGAGGGAGGCACAGTGACATTAATCCCATGCAGGAGTGGGGCAGATGCTTACATGCCTGACCTGCTGATGTGGGGCTCCAGGCTGGGGTGTCCACCCTGGGGAGGGACGGACTGGGAAAGAGAAAGGTGTGGGAAAGGGACACAACCAGATTCAGACCGACAGATAGCCTCAAACACTCAATGGGTCTCTCAACAAGTCCTCATGGTCCTCGCCAGGGTCAGGTGTGGAGCCTCCAAAGGAGTCACCACCGAACCAATTGCTGCCCTTGTCGAGCTCATGGGTAGCTGGAGACACACGAGGAACAAAATCACCCACAAGAAATAAGCGGTCTGAAGGTGGCACAGGTACAGCTGGGCAGCTGGTGCCCACGGTCTGCAAGGCCAGCGGGGCCACCCTCCAGCATGACCTTGCTCCCCAGGACCCCTTCCTCCACTTCCCCCGACTTTCCATTTGGCTCTGGCCCATGTCATCTCCCCCAGGGAAGGTGTTTGCTGGCTACAGCCTCAGCAGCTTGTCCCCTCGCCTTCCAAGTCCCATCCTCCCAGCCACCACACCAGGCCCGACTACTTGCATGCTGTCCCTCCAGTGTCAGAGGGCCAGGGTATGGAGAGCGGACAGATCCACCATTTGCCTGGCCATTCTACCTTGACAGGGGGTCCACGAGTTTGGGCCATGAGGGACTCTTAAAGATGTGGGTCCCTCAGGGAGATCAGCTGGGCAGAAGGAACTTGTTGATGGGCATTTCTGGGTAGAGGAGATACGGCCAGAGAGCAGGAGGTAAGCAATCCTCCCAGGGCCTTGTGCCTCAGAGAGGGGGACCCACCATCCCTAGGTCACACAGAAGTGAGCCAGCAGGGAGCAGGAGCTGGGCCTTGAGAGCAATGCAGGGGAGGAACAGAATGGAGAACCTGCTGAGAAGTCCTGGGGGAAGGGAGGGAGGGAGCCCTGTCTGAGGAACCCTGGGAGGAAGTTCCTGAAATTACCAATTTCACCTTCAAAGGGACTCTTCCTAAAGGGTTCGGCATAGGGTTCCCATAAGACCCAGGAATTCTACTCTTAGGCATATATACCCATGAGGAATTGGACACATGTCCATGCCACACACAGCCTTGTTCATGACTATTTATACTAGCATTGTTCATTATAACCCCAAAGCAGAAACAACCCAAATGTCCTTTGACTTCTGAGCAGATGAACAAAATTTCATCCGTCTATACCAAGGAATAATATTTAGCCACAAAAAAGGAACAAAGCCCTGACCCTGCTACAACATGGATAAGCCTGCAAAACATTTGTGCCCAGTGACAGAAGACAGGCATGGAAGAACAGATTTGGCAAAGAATGGGCAAATCATAGAGGCAGAAAGCACCTGGGTGGTTGCCAGGGGGTTTTGAGGAGGGGAGAATAGGGAGTGACTGCCAGAGGGTATGGGATTTCTTTGGGAGGTAATGAAAATGTTCTGAATGGACTGTGGTGGTGATTGCACAGCACTGAATGTACTGGAAGCCCTTGACTTCCATGCTTTAGGAGGCTGAATCCTGTGGCATGTGGATCACACCTCGATAAAGCTGTTACTAAAAACACTCTGCACTCAGTAAAGGCTCCATTCTACAAAGAAGGACCTGGAGGCTCAGGCTCCTGGGGCACGCGGCTAGAGCAAGGCGGGCTGAGGCCAATGTCAGGTGGACTCTAGGCCTCTAAGGGAGGCCTGAGGCTCCCTCTCCTTCCTTTGCCTGCTCTCTCCTCTTCACCTGGTCACCATCTCCAGAAACCCTTCCCTRACCTCTCCCCATCTACCTGCCTACGGACTGCACTACTGAGTCCATGGGATGTGGGCTCTGGGTTGATGCTGGGGATAGCTTGAACAACGTGCCAGGGCTGCCATCCTGGGCATCCCCAGATTTGTACCCACTCCTCACCAGAAAGCCAAGCAGGAGTGGGGAAAGAGAGGTCCGTTTCCAACCTCCTGGTGCCTGGACCTCCACCCCCTGGCTTCTGACCAAATGCCTCCTGGACGTCTCCGTCCTCAGCAGGTGAGGGGATTGAGGAAAAGCTATCCTGGCAGGGGGAGGGACAAAATCAAAGGCAGAAGTGGGGAAGGCTACCCAGTGCTGGGAAGGGAGATACAGGGTCACCAGAGAATAAATGTGGGAATCAAGTCCTGTGTGGTAACTACTCAGATTAGGTGGGTGCTGCAGGGTGTGGTGGGGCCCTCTCAAGAGGGCTCTGAGGAGAACCAGTCAGTCTGGAACACATCCCGTTTTAAGCTAGACCAGAAGAAGAACTTCCTAGGATCATGCATGTGTTAACATGCTCCCCAGACAGGGCTGTGCCAACAACCCGCCCATGGAGCTGCTGGCCGAGGCTTGCCCTAACAAGCAGGTGCAGCCCTGGCATCTGGAACCTGAGTCGGGGGCCCAATCAGTGGTCTTCAGCCCATTGGTCCAGTGTGGTTCCTTTTAGAAGGGCTGCCCTGGACATGTGTGTGGGTCATGGAGGCCTCTACCTCTCAGAGGCTACCTGGGCTACTAGGACCTGTTCAGATGCTCATCAATGATCAGAACCCAGGACAAGGGCCTTTCCAAAAGGACTGGAGAGAGCCTGGGCATCTGGGTGGTGGGGTGGAGATGGGAGCTAGTGCCCACCCTATGGCCAGGAAGGTTGGAGCAGAGGTAGGAGGAGGACCTAGGCCCAATTCCATTGCTACCCTGGGTGAGTTGCTCATCCTCTCTGAGCCTTGATCCTGTCTCCCACCTTCCTTGCATGCTGAGCCTGAGGTTGGTGAAGGTGGTGGTTGTGAAGCTCTGCAGCGTCTGGGCCAGCAGTTCTCATAGCTCTGAGAGCTCCCTGGATCACTCCACCCTCAGAGGGAGCTCCTTGGACAGGGGATTGGGCTTCCCCTTTGCCCCTGTTGCAGGTCTTCTCAAATTCTTCATGCCTCCAGAGGGACCCAATCTGCCAGCTCTCCAGATGTGTTACTGACATCTGGGGACCACCAGGTGGATGAGGCTGGGCAGACAGACCTTGTGACTGGGTAGAAGAGACTGAGTCAGCTCACTAGGCTGCTGGAAAGAGCACATGACTTCTCTGAGCCTGTCTCCCCAACTCGACTTGTCTAGCCCTCTCAGGAAGGCAGGGTTCCAGCCCCGCTGGATGGCTAGGCCCACTGCCAGTTGCAAGTTCGAGGCGCATCGCAGGCTACTTGACCTCTTGGAAACCCCTCCGGGCACTAGACTGCCTGGCTGGTTTGTTCTCCTTCTGCAGGTGGGCTCCCGGGCTATCCACGCACTTCTTTGGTCCACATGGCCCAGTGATGAGGCTCCAGCTCCCGGAGCCCAGAGGTTAACTCATGTACTTGCTGCCCCTGCCCGGGAGGGGCCAGGATGGGCCTTCTAAGAATGAGTCCTGAGCAACTGAGAAGCCCTGTCACTACCTTGCGTCCCTCCCCTGCGCCGCATCCTCCCCACCCCCAGTGCAGGAGTGAAGACACGAGCCAAGCTTGCTAGAGCCAGGATCTCCAAGCAGGCGCGTCGGGGTCGCCCCGGTGGCCACCGGTCGCACCGAGAGTCCACCGGTGTCTGTGTGTCCCAGGCGCAGCCCCGGCCGGGGGTAAGGGGAGGGGCGTCCCGGCCCCGCCCCAGGTCCCGCCCTGTGCCCGCGCCCCGGCTGTCCCGCGTCTGGACTCGGAGCAGAAGCCGGGCGCTCGCGGGCTGAGCGCTGCGCGGGCCGGGATGTGCGCCTGCCTGCGGCCCCGGCTCCCGGGCCTGGGTGTGGCGTGGCCTTATGGCAGGTAGCGGCGGCCTGGGCGGCGGGTCCGGGGACGGCAAGGGCACCGGGTCCGGGCAGGGGCCCCCACTGAGGGCGCCCCGCGCGCTGCTGGCGCTGGTGGCTCTGGTGCTCGGCGCCTACTGCCTCTGCGCCCTCCTCGGCCACTGCCCGCCAGCCGCCCGTGCCCCGGCCCTGGCCCCGGCGCGCATAGAGTTGACCAGTCCTGCCCGTCGCCCTGGAGCGCCAGATCTGCCGGTGGCCAGCGGTTCGGGTCTCCGGCGCTTTCCGCAGGCGCTCATCGTGGGCGTGAAGAAGGGTGGCACGCGCGCACTGCTAGAGTTTCTGCGGCTGCACCCCGACGTCCGCGCTCTGGGCTCGGAGCCCCACTTCTTCGACAGGTGCTATGATCGGGGACTCGCTTGGTATCGGTGAGCTTCCTACCCATCTGCTTGTCAGCTTCTATGGGCGCCCCAGCTGGTGCCGTACAGGGAACGCAACAGGAGGAGTCCTGGGACATTGGGACTGAGACCAGCCTGTTGGGGGCTCCAGCTTGACCCCATGGATGTAGCTCCCAGAGCAAAGGTGGTACCTGGTCACGGGTCCCAGGAACTTAGAAAACTCCGGGAAAGCCCTGTGGGAGTCTATGGAGGGGCTCGCATGATTGTGGTGGGGATGGGTGGGTGGGTGTATGATCCCACTCAGGAAGTAGTTTCCAGGCAGTGGGATCTTAGAGTCCAGTGGCACCCTGTCCCCCAATCATTACTCTGGGTATGCATGGCCAATCATCTCCTGGCCAGTTACCTTAGAAAGGGCCTTCAAGTTCCCTCTGGCCTCCTAAAAAGTGCTCTCACCCTAGGGGGCTTTTTTGGTCTTTGGTCTGGAGAAAGTTAGGTCTGGGTGTAGGAAGGAGAGTGCTGCCCTCCAGTATCTGTCCAGGTGGGGGATTGGGACCCAGTCTCCTGCACAGGGCTCTGTAGCTGCCCTGCACCCCAATTGGGGTGCTCCCTGCCTCAGCTGAAGCAGGCTGCTGAGCTTGGCACTGGAGGCTAGAGCCAGGCCCTGCCCTCTGCCTCTTGCAGCTGTGTCTGTGTCCAGAAGTCTCCCAGTCCTTTCCTGTGGGATAATGAGGATTCACAGAGGGCTCTCGCCTCTTCCCCAAGCGCAGGCCCAGTCTAGGACACCTGGAGAATTAGTGGGGGATGGCAGCACCCAGTCTGGACCCACATATGCACAGCAGTTTCTCTGTTCCTAGATCCTCCCCTCCAGCATGCATTTGCTGTTTGCCTTTTGCACTGAGATGACTGGTAGGTGGGGCGGGGTGGTGGTGGTGGAGAACAGGGGAGCTGGCTCCTGACCTCTGAAGGGTAGTGCTGGCCTGGTGCTAGGGAAGTTGGGCATGGTGAGGGAAGGTATTCCATCTCTGGGCATCCTCCCAGGTCAGGCTCCAGGGAAAGACCACTGGCCCATTCCTGGTGCAGGGAGGGGAGGAAGAGCAGAAAGGAGAGAGGGGCCAGAGGTCAAGGGAGCACCTTTTAATGACACACAGACTTCATGGCCGCCACTGGCCCCATGAGCTTTGACAGGAGTTGAGGGGATCTGTGAGGTGAAGAGGAACTGAGGAGAAGCCAGGAGGGTGAGATGGGTAGGTGCTGAGAGGTTCTCAAGGCACCAGGATCCCAAGGCCCACCCAGGTGTGCCCTGGCACTAGCTCTGCTTGGAGGGAAAGTTCTGGGGAGGGCGAGGGGTCTGAGAGGCAGCAGGGACCAGCCCCAGGGTGGGGGTCATACCCTCAGCCCTAGGGGGAATCTTAGGGAGACTGACATGTCCAGGAGAGAAGTCGGGGGCATTCAGGACAGTGTGACCCTGCTGAGAAGAGACTTTTTACTTCCTCGTTTAAAAAACCCACCTCCAGTGAGGGTTGTGGAGGGGTCAGGTCCTGTGGCCACAGTCCCATTAATCCAGGACTGTCCCTCGGGGTTGGCCAGCACTGACCCCTCTGATTCAGAGCAAGCCACGTGTGAGCTTCTGAACAGTGTGTCCCAGTGTCTCAGGCATGGCAGTATGCTGAGGTGTGCAAATATGGCGCCGTTCTGCTCATGAGTGCCGCAGCCTCTGTGCTGGTCTGTTCTTTGGACCATCATGAAGAGGCCCCAAGCTCTGAAAACGCCCACCCTTGCCCCAGTGTTCCCAGACACAGGCCTGGGTGGAGCCCCCCAGTTCCCCCAGGGCCCTGTTCCAGGTGCAGGTTGGGGGAGGTAGGAGAAGCTGTTCCCTCAGCTGAATTTCTGGGACACTGCTCCACTGAGAACTGATCCACACTTACCCCCAACAGTGACCCTGGCCATCCCCTGGCCTTGGTAAATGGGTCCTGGGTTGCCCATGGTCACACTGTTTTCCCTTCCTGGATCTCCATTTGCTCATCTTTTGAATACTTGAGCACCATGGCCCCAGAGAGTCCCAAACTCAAACAGGATCTGCTTCCTGTTCACTCATCATTGAGCACCCACTGTTTGGCAGGTGCTGGAATCACACAGATACCCCAGGAACTCCATCTGGGGGCAGGTAGGAGCCAGAGGGATTCCAGGGAGAACCTCGTTAGTTCTCGGAATGCAAAAGCAGTGAATGCAGAGGGGGTATGTGTTTGTAGGGAGGAAGGGGCTCCTATGGGGCCAGTCCTCCCCATCCTGTGGCTGAGGACAAACCCCCCAGTACTTTCTGGCATCAGGTTAAGAACAATAACTGGTTTCCACTGGGTCCCAGACTCTGCTAGATCTCCCAGGCGAGGTATGGGACACAAAGGTGGGGGTGCTGAGAAGGGAGGAGGGAGAGTGGCCCAGGGCTGGGTGGAAGCCACAGGGAAATGCAGACCAGATGAGGTGGGCTCGGCGGGGAGGGAGGGTCCTCTGAACCGCCTGTCAGAAGTTTGCCATGGACGGTCAGAATTCTGCTCTGCACATCCTCCCCCACCCCGCAAAGTGCTCATCCCCCACCCCACCATGAGGCCCAGGGAGGCCTCAGAAATCATTGATCCCAAAGATCTCCCATCTCAGAGCTGACTTGTGGTGGGATGAGTCTAGGAAGTGCTTGTCCCCAGTCCTCCTGCTCCCTTCCTTGACAGGGGGTCTGGGAGTTACTGCCCCCTTGGAAGTTCTGCTTCTCCAACTGCCTGGAAGAGCAAGCATGGAGGGAGAGCAGTCTTCCAGGCCTCCGCAGGAGAAGGGTCAGAGATGTTCAGAACCAGGTGTCTAGTCTGGGAAGGAAAAGGGCTGGGCCCCTGAAGTCACTTGGTGTGGGGAATGGGGTGTGGTCAGGGCACATCAAAGATGGGAGGGGATGAGCTAGGGATGGGGCTCCAGACGGTGACTTCTGGTGAGGCCATGTGTCCTCCCTTCCCGGCAGTGAGCTGAGTGAGGGGACACTCCCCTTCTTATGACTCCCCCTGGGGCGAGGGGGCAGACTGCAGCCAGGGTCTCTTGGAGCTCTCCCTGGGGAAGTCGGTGCTGTCTCCAAAAGGATCCCCAGACATACAGGGAAGGTGGTGGGAGTCAGGGGCTCTGGGAGGAGAGGACATGCAGACACCACTTCCCAGGTGGGCCTCAAGGAGGGCTGAGGGTCAGCATCCATCTTCAGCATGTCCTGCTTCCTCTCTGAGCCTCAGTTGCTGCCTGTCAAATGGAACTGGGGTAGAGTGAGAATGGTTTTTGCTCACAAGCTATTGGCTAGCTGAACCCTGGACCTTGTTTTGAGGGATGGGGTGGCTCCCCCCCATACTGCCCACCCAAYTGTGTTTTGGCTATGGTTGGTGCTGGGGAGCCTGGCATCCTGGGTCTGTTTGGCACATGTTCGTACCTCCTGTCCCACCACAGGCAACTGCATTGTGGGGCTCTGTGCACCTGTGTCGGCCTGACAGTGTCCCTAGGGGTCTGAACATGGAGAGAGGACACAGGTCTGTGGATCAGTTAGGCTGGCTGAGACTGGACTTGGCCCTGTGTGTCCCCCTCCTGGCTGGACCAGTCCTCGGGACTCTTGGTGGGAGCAGGGCTGGGCAGGGCTGGGCAGAGGTGTCTCCTCTCTGGCACAGGCTCTTTGTTGACCTAGTTCCCAGCCCGCCCTTGGAGCTGTTTGCTGAGCTGACCTGCCCTGCCCTGCCCAACCTCACCTGCACTACCTGGCTTGCAGGCACTGCCTCAGGACACCACTTGGGGTGCCTGGGCCTGCCCAGCCTGGGGGCTTAGGATGGGCTCCCCAGGTTTGGGAAAGTCTGGGGGCTGTGGTCAGCTGACTCCCTCTGAATCTTGGAGTCTCAGAAGTGCTGAGTCCTTGGCCTGGCACTCTGGGACCCCTGCAAGGTCTGGAAAGCCCCGGGGTCGGGGGTCACTGCCATGTCACTAGTTTCTCAAATGTTCGGTTTCTGCTGGTGGCTCTTTGGCATTCTGAGTTGGGCCCAGGTGGGTGAATGAAGGCAGGGGGAGGGTATAATTAAACTACAGGGCATGGGGGAGAGGCCCCCTGCCAGCGACTCTTGTCAATAACAATAATTGATGACCTAATTCAGGGACGCTGTCAGCCATCAAATGAAAGGGTGACCTCAAGTGATTGGAGCACAGAGGCCTGCAGGCGACAAGGCCAGGCTCGCCAGCTCAGGGGCACTTGGTCTGGGGTGAGAGGAATGTCAAGGTGGGGGCCAGCAGCTCTGATGGGTGGGGTTGCCAGGCCTCGGAGGAGCAGACACTTGGGCTGAGGGGTCCTAGAGCTTGCCCAGGATGGCCAATGGCTGATGAGGAGGTCACTATTCCCAGTGACCATCATCCTATTTTCCCTGGGCCCCCTCAGTGCACCTCCCGTCTAGCTCTTCAGGAACTGGGTCTGAGTGGGAGGGAGGGTAAGCTTCAGGTCTAACCTGGGGACAAGGCTTCACAGCCGAAGCACTCACCCATGCCCAGCACCCACTCGGGCCACCCCTCTTCCCATTGTCCCCAGGAGCCTGATGCCACGCACCTTAGATGGCCAGATCACCATGGAGAAGACCCCCAGCTACTTTGTGACACGGGAGGCCCCCCGCCGCATCCACAGCATGTCCCCAGACACGAAGCTGATTGTGGTGGTGCGGAACCCAGTGACCAGGGCCATCTCTGACTACGCCCAGACACTCTCCAAGACCCCCGGCCTGCCCAGCTTCCGTGCCTTGGCCTTCCGCCATGGCCTGGGCCCCGTGGACACGGCCTGGAGCGCCATTCGCATTGGCCTCTATGCCCAGCACTTGGAGAACTGGCTGCGCTACTTCTCTTTGTCCCATTTTCTTTTTGTCAGTGGTGAGCGCCTGGTCAGCGATCCAGCAGGAGAGGTCGGGCGCGTGCAGGACTTCCTGGGCCTCAAACGGGTTGTCACGGACAAGCATTTCTACTTCAATGCCACCAAGGGCTTCCCCTGCCTCAAGAAGGCCCAAGGTAGCAGCCGCCCCCGCTGCCTGGGCAAGTCCAAGGGCAGGCCCCACCCCCGTGTGCCTCAGGCTGTGGTCCAGCGCCTGCAGGACTTCTACCGGCCCTTCAACCGCAAGTTCTACCAGATGACCAGCCAGGACTTTGGCTGGGACTGAGCAAGACCCAGGCAGACATGTCCTGGACACTCAGTAACTGTATTTATGTTTGCCCATCTGGTCAGATGCCTCCACGTGCTAGGTGGAGAGTATTTAAGGAATAAAGTCTGGATGGGTATCTTCCACTTGGCCTTGAGATGGGAAGTGCTCACACAGCTAACTACAGGCACTGACTGCTCAGGTGTCATCCCAAACCTGCTCCCTAAGAGTTCTTGAAGGTGGCACGCACTTGGTCACATGTCACAGATGAGTACATGAGGCTCGGAGAGGGTTAAGGCTTGCCTAGTGACGCACAGCTTAACCCTGGTGGCTCTGGAGGCTCCACTCGGCCTCTCTTCTCAATCTTGGGAGGATGAGCAGGGTTGTCTCCATGTCTCCATGAGCAAGGCTTCCCCTCAGTGGTGGACAGGATTGAAGTGGGGTCTGGCCGACTGTGTGTGTTGCACCCACAACCCCAGCTGATCCTGCACCCAGTGCCTGGGGCTGCTCCCTCTTGGCAGCCTCCTGGAACTGCCAGGTGGTGAGTGGAGATGGCTTCCAGCCAAGCGGGTCCAGTGAAGCCCAGCCCAGCCCACAAGACCCCGCCCACTCCCCCAGGCCCTCACTGCCCCAGCCAGATCAGCTGCTTTTATCCTGTGCCCTTCCCCCAGGACAGGACAGGAATCAGTGCCCATCTGCAGCCCAGCTGCCCACTCCTAACCAGGGAGGCTGAGAGGCTTGTCCACCCCTCTCCAGGGAATGTGAGGCCCCCTCGGTAATGACTCTCACTTGCTCCCGGCCGTTTACTCGATGCCAGGTGCCTACCAGCTGCCCTGATAATGACCTTGGGGCTGCTTGGGCCCAGGCCCAGCATGCCTGTGCTGTCCCAGACCTGCCACGGGGCCTGGCTGTGTTCCTGGCTGTGTTCAAGGCTGCTCCTTGGATCTCATGGCCTGTCCTTGGCCCTGATGTGGCCTTTCTACTTCTCAGTTACTTGGGCTTCTGTGTCCTGGGTCCCAGGGATGCAAGCAGTGAGGGATGGTTTGAGGGGCAGTCTGTCAGCCTCTGTCCCTCTCTGACGGACTGGCAAAACTCACCGTGAGCTAGTGGCTCCACCAGTCACCATATCCTCTGTCTTTGTCACATGATCCCATCATGTTGTGGACACAGGGTCAGTTCATATTGATGTTCCAAGAGACTCAGTGGGACGGGGAGGTAGATGGGGACATCTGTCTCTCTCCAGCTATTAGAGACCCCTGTGCCGGGTTTCTGTTCTCGCAACTAAAAGGCTCAGGGATTACTCCAGTTAAACTGGGCTAACTGGGCTGCAAGAAATAACTACACAAGAGACACAATACCTTTTTCTTTGGGGTCACTATGACGGCTCCTCTGACCTTAAGGGTCCGCAGAAAGAGAGAGAGTGAGAGCACGCACTGACCCCTTTTATTGAGGAGAAGCTATTTAAATGAGGCAAGGGGTCAGGTTTCAGGGGGCTGAGTCTATCTTCATGATGTCCACTGTCAGCAGGTTGACTGACACCTGGGTAGGCCACACCCAAGGGCACGGTAAGAGAAGGGGACTCACACAAGGCACTTCCATGGAAGATTCTATCCTAAACAGGGCAAGGGGTTATATTACAAAGAAACAGGTGAGCATAGCTTCACCCAAGGGATTGTAGCAAGACACACCCATGCACGAGACACCGACCCTCACACCCAAGAAAGGTGAGGAAAGCTCTGCCACATTTCCGCGACTAAGTGCCTCAGCACCCAGCTGGGGAGTGTGACTTAGTCACGTGTAAGGTTGGCCTCCCACACCTCTGCTCCTATTACTCTGTGGGCTCAGTGGAGCTGGGCTGAGGGGCTGGAACTGTCTCCAGGCCCCTCCACCCCTGGCAGGGTTGGGGGTGGTTACAGGCTCCCCTCCTGGCACTGGCTGGGCTAGTGCAGTTCCAGCGTGGTGGGCAGATGTGGGCCCAGATGTGAATGAGATGAACCCATAGCTTTCCCCAGACTCGAGACTGATGTGGTGAGGGAAAGGGCTGGACAGTTACAGGGGCCAGGTAAGGAAGGGACAGAACCCTAGCAGGACAGGCCCTGCTAGGCAGTGAGTGCTCAGCGTGGTGTCTATGTCCCCTCCTCTCCCTGAACGTGCTGAGCTTGCTATGTCTGGAAGCCCTGGGCCCACACCATCTCCCCCCTCCTTTGTTCTCCTACAGGGAGCTCTCTGAATGGCAACTAGAGGGATGTCCTCAGAGGAAGGCAGATTCCATTATTTTAAAATGCTCCAATCCCAGCCCTACCCCCACTGCTTCTAGGATGAAGACCAGATGCCTGCCTGCAGCTGTGAGGGCCCTCGAGGCCTCTCCCCACATCTGCCTGCTCCACTCAGCCCTACTTTCCTGCTTGCTGGCCCTGGTCAGTTCCTCACACCTGCTATGCTCTTTCCAACCTCACAGACCTGGCACATGCTGTTCCCTCTGCCTGAAATGCCTGTCCCCACAGAGAGTGTGAATGGAGGTAGAGGTGGCCGTGCTTCTGCTGAGCTTATCCAGGTGACCCACTTTCCCCATCTAGGGCACAGAGTTGTGGGGAGCACTAGTTTACCTGACTTTGAGGCCTGGGCCCAGGGCTCAAGGGACAGATTCTGGAAACAGAGAAGAGAGAGGGTGGATTGGGATGTCCCTCTTGTCCCTGCCACTGGGAACTCAGCCTGTGGGCCTACGCCCAGTGCAAGGTGCCCAGCTGAGCTCCAGAACACACTGTGTGCAGATGTGGTGGGTCCTACAGGCTGAGTGGGGGTGGTAGGGCTCCTTGGGGGAGTCATCGGCCTTTAATTAAAGTCCTTAAATTGTTTCCCCAGCTGCTCCATGGTTTCCATGTTGGAACGTTCCAGAACGGGTGAGAAGTGCTGATTCAATTACCTTCTTCCTGTCCTGACCAGGAGAGGGGCCTGGGATGGGAATGGGCAGAGATGGAGGTCCTCACAGCCTTGGGGTTAAGGAAGGGGCTAGGAGAAGCCTGGGGAGGGGGCCTCGCTTAGCCCCAGCCTCCTGGTCACATGTGGTCCAGGGTGGGTCCTAGGAAGAGTGGGTGGGGGGCTGAGTGAAGGTGGTGTTCTCGCTCTGGGCCTTGAACATGGCAGACGCTGAACCTGAGCAGGCCCTGGCCTTGGAAACAGGGAGGAACAGGATCGTACTCTCCACTGGGAGGCTGCATTGGTAACCGGAAAGCCCCCTCTAAAAGAGGAGACCCAGAAAGTGCCCGTAGCTTTCCCGTCCTCCTCCTTCCTATTGGCACCCCTGCAATGGTCCTCACCATGCTGTCCATCCCAAGGGGCATACTGCCTGCCTTTGTGCCTGACCTCAGGGACAGGTCAAGGCAGAACCTGGAATCAGAGCATGGCTGGGGCTGGGCCTGCCGACCCCTGTTCCTCCAGGAAGAGCTGCCTGAGGCCACTGGTTCTGGGTGACCCCTCTGATGAGGGCTGAGCTGGCCTCCTGTGGTTAGAGCGGATGGGACTAAGGAGTGAATGTGTGGCAGCCTTGGGCTTGTTCCCCACTGGACTCCTTGGGACTGTGAAGGGCAGGATTGGGGAGGTAGAGGGAAGCTGGGCCCCTGGGGTGCAGCTTGGACTGGGAGAGTCTGCTTTGGGCAGCACCTGTGGGTTCCTTTGCCCCAGAATCAGGGGTTTACTTTGGGGAAGGCCTGATCCTCCTGGTCCTTGTGGCTGGTTTCCACATGGCCCAAGGTACACACTCCAGCCTCGTGCAGTGGGCTGTTCTCTGGCTGCAGGAGGGGACCACGCCACGGGTGAGACAAGGACTGAGTGACTTCAGAAGAGTTGAATCCCCTCGTAGCCCCTGCCCCCATGCCTTCCTGCTCCCCTTCCCATTTGCCAGCCTGCCTTAGGCTCCTTGTCCCCTTTGAGGAGCTGCTGAACTGTGGTTTCCTAGGGGTCCATTTGTGGTGACTTCACCAGGGCAGGGATGCTTGAAGGCCTGGACACTTTAGTCTGGGCAGTGCCTCGTTTTAATCTGAACCGCCCATGCCCTCTGTTCCCRTGGAGGCTGGGAAAGTGATGCTGTCCTGAACCTGGTGTCTCGTTCCATTCCAGAAGTTTCCTCTCAAGTTGTCAAGGGATGACTCTTGAGGCCAGATGGTAGGGGCTTAGGGATGAGGAAGGTTCCCTATGATTTCCTTTTATCCACCTTGTCCTAGGGGCAGCTTTGGGCAGCCAAGAACCATCGGCAGGAGCCCTGCAGGAAGCCCCTTGCTCCTGAGGCCCCGACTCCCTCTGTGCCTCCCTCAGGCCTTCGGGCTTTGAACTGGCTCTTTTTCTCTCTTTCCTGCGTGTCAGCCTCATGCTCCCGGTTAGCTCCTGAACTTCCTTGTCTCTCTGGGCTCCCATGGGCCAGGATCAAGGTTCTGGATGTCAGTGACATGCTGAGGGGTCTGGAGAAATGGAAGGCAGGGCAGCGACAGCAGCTGATAGGGCCTGACAAGTTCATTTATTCTATTAGCCCACAGGTACTGAGGACTCTGTGATGGACAGGGCAGTGCTGACCGTCTGGAGTCACCAAGAGGCCAGGGAGACCAAGTGAGCCACCAAGCAACTAGGAGAGTGGAGCACTAAATACAGAATGTGACAGGCACCAGGAAGCAGGGAGCAAGGGGGAAGGGGCCATTCCAGAGGGAGTTTCCCTGAGAGAGGAGACCACCTTGAGGGCACCAGCTGTGCTAGGGCAGGGCAGCAGGTGCCTCAAGCAGGGGACACACGGGCACGTTAGGTGATGGAGGACTAGGTGAGGAAATCCTGACTTCAAGGGCTGGGGTTGTGGCTCAGTGGTAGATGCTTTTCTCTTATATACAGGGCCCTGTGTTCAATCTCTAGTACTAGAAAAAAAAAGTAAGAAAGAAAAACAAAGAAAAAAGAAAATTCTTGGCTATGAGACAGGTTCTGCACATACAACCCAAAGTCTTAAGGATAGGGATTTGGACAGATACTCACATACCTGTGTTCCTGGCAGCTGTATTTAAGTAGCTGAGAGGTGGAAACTGCCTGAGTGCCCATCAGCAAATGATCAGGTAAAC